TTGCAGCCTAAAGAGGTGAAGCTGCAATACCAATGACGGCCGAAAATCCTCTACTGACGCTTCCCACGCACCATAGCCTGCTTGAAGTACAAGCCGACCATGTTCCTGTGACCGCCCTCATTGACACAGGTGCGCACCTGTCTATTAAGAGCGCTTCTCTACGCTGCCGCTTACAAAAGATTATGACGCCATCTACGACACAGGCAATACGTGTTGCCGATGGCGGTACTGTACCAGTAATCGGAATGTGCACTGCTCATGTCAGCATTGCTGGTCGTCACGCCGCGGTCCTTTTTGCCGTGCTAGCCTGCTGCCCTCATGACCTCATACTTGGCCTTGATTTCATTTCGGCACACTCGGCCTTAATTGATTGTTAGTCTGGTACCCTCAGCCTTAATCTACCAATCTTTGCCGACTACTCTGCAAAGCCCACCAGCCCAACCAACTTAAGCCCAACCAGTTTCGTTCGCCTGCCACCTCAAGCCGTCACGTACGTGTCTTTGTCATCGACCATTCCCGTTCCTGACGGTGGTTATATCGTTACGCCAATTACTGACGTTCGGCTGACGCGCAGTGTTACTGTGCCCTATACCATCGCGACCATAGCGGATAACTGTGTGTTACTTCCGCTCCTTAACTTTGGTCTCACCCCTCAATTGTTGCCCTGCCAGATGTCTCTAGCCCGACTAACTGCCATAACAGAGGACGATGTCATTGTTGTCGCTGTATCTGCTCTTGATCGAAGCACAGTCTCATGGTCACCCAGCTCAAATGATGGTATTTTTCGAAACATGATTGGATTGGAGCTGTCGCCTCACCAGGCCGACGCTCTCTTTGCCAAGTTTTGGCCTCATACAGTGACATTTTCGACACCGACGATCGTCCCTTGGGCCAGACTAAAATTGTCACTCACCGAATCAACACAGGTGACTCTGAGCCCATTCACCGTCGGCCGTACCGGGTGTCAGCATCTGAGCGAGAAGTGATTCAGAAAGAAGTGGCCAAAATGCTTACGAAAAGTGTAATCGAACCATCAACGAGTCCTTGGGCATCTCCCGTTGTATTAGTAAAAAAGGAAGACGGCTCATGGCGTTTCTGCGTTGATTATTGCCACCTCAACAAAATTACCAAAAAAAGACGTGTACCCTCTACCACGCATTGACGATGCCCTTGATTGCCTCCATGGTGCCACCTTATTTTCATCTCTCGACCTCCGTTCTGGCCACTGGCAAATCGCTGTAGATGACATGGACCGAGAAAAGACCGCCTTCGTAACCCCTGACGGTCTTTACATATTCAAGGTCATGCCATTCGGGCTCTGCAACGCTCCAGCGACCTTCGAGAGAATGATGAACACGCTCCTACAAGGATTCAAATGGTCGACATGTTTGTGTTACCTGGACGACGTGATCATTTTCTCACCTACCTTTGCATTCCACCTTGAACGCCTTTCAACCATTCTACCCATATTTCGACGGGCCGGCCTGCAGCTCAATTCCTCTAAGTGCCACTTGGGTCTTCGTCAGATTACCGTATTGGGTCACCTTCTTGACGCTGCCGGCGTACGGCCAGACCAGGCGAAAGTACGCGCTGTAACAAACTTTCCAGTTCCACGGTCTGTCTATGATGTTCGCAGTTTTGTGGACCTCTGCTCCTACTTTCGCCGGTTCGTGAAAAACTTTGCGGCACTCGCTCGCCCACTCACCGACCTTCTCAAACAAGACCTCCCATTTTCTTAGGGCCCTCCTCAAGCAGACGCCTTCTCTCAGCTGATCACCGCTTTAACGACACCTCCTATTCTTGCACATTTCGACCCTGATGCTCCTACAGAAGTGCGAACAGACGCGAGTGGTCACAGAATTGGTGCACTTTTGGCGCAAATTCAGCGGGGCAATGACCTTATAATTGCGTACGCAAGCCGTCTGCTTCCTAAGTGTGAACGCAATTATTCTATAACAGAACGGGAATGTCTCGCTCTTGGTTGGGCGGTTACGAAATTCTGTCCTTACTTGTATGGCCGCCCTTTCCGTGTCATCACAGATCATCACGCACTGTGTTGGCTTTCTTCTCTGAAGGACCTCACTGGACGACTTGGTCTTTGGGCATTACGCCTACAGCAGTATTCCTACTTGGTTGCTTATAAGTCTGGACGTCTCCATCTGGACGCCGATTGGTTATCCCGCTACCCTGTTGAGCAGCCCGACGAACCTGACATCGAGCCTAGCCTCAGCGTCATGTCAATGTCCCAGTTTCTTCAGATTGGTGATGAACAACGTCGTGATGCTTCTCTTCGACAACTTATTGACCATCTTGAAGCTGCTCAGAACGACACGTCACTTCGCATGTACGTCCTCCCGAATGGCACGCTGTACCGTCGTAGCCTCCAGCCACATGGCCCTGAGCTCCTTCTTGTCTTGCCGAAAAATTTGCGTTCAACCGTGCTGCACGAGCTTCACGATGAACCAACTGCTGGTCATCTGGGTGTATCTCGGACGTAGGACCGCGTGCGTCATCGCTTCTTTTGGCGCGGTCTCGCCCGGTCCGTTCGCCGTTACGTGTCCTCCTGCGATAAATGCCAACGTAGGAAGCGACCTACCGCGCCCCCGGCTGGACTTCTTCAACCGATCTCCATCCCAACCGAACCTTTCTTCCGTGTTTGTATAGATCTTCTTCGTCCTTTTCCCGAGTCGAAATCGGGCAACAAGTGGGTCGCCGTTGCTATAGACTACGCGACTAGGTATGCCATCACTCGAGCGCTCTCCACCAGCACCGCTACTGACGTTGTGGACTTTTTGCTCCACGACCTCATCCTACAACATGGCGCTCCTCGCCAATAACTCGCAGATCGTGGCCGCGCATTTTTGTCCCGTGTGATCGACGATCTTCTGTGCTCTTCCTCAACGCACCACAAGCTGACCACTTCCTACCATCCCCAAACAATTGGCCTTACCGAACGGCTAAATCGGACCCTAACGGACATGCTCGCGATGTATATGTTCTCCGACCACCATGACTGGGACCTGGCGCTACCTCACGTGACCTTCGCGTACAATTCTTCGCGCCACGACACTACTGGTTATTCACCCTTTTATTTGCTTTATGGCCGTGATCTGAAGTTGCCACTCGACACCCTACTTCCAACCACTACAACGCCGTCAACCGATTATGCACGCGACGCTATCGCTCGTGCCGACCACGCACCTCAGATCGACGCTCTAGACTTTCGGCTTCGCAAGCCATCCAGAAAACCATCTGCGATAGCCGGCATGCTGACGTTCACTTCTCACTCGGTTTTCTTGTTCTCCTGTGGTGCCCAGCTCGTAGAGTTGGCTAATCAGAGAAGTTGTGGTCTCGCTACATGGGTCCTTACCGTATCATCCGCCAGGTAACCGACGTCACCTATGAGATTATTCCTGCATCTGAGACCACAAGCCTGCCTGCAACCACACCCAGCGATGTTGTGCACGTCAGCAGGCAAAAACCTTACCACCTGCCAACTGAAGACCGTAGTTAATGTGCATCTAGACGGCGCTTTTACCGCCGGGGGGGGGGGGTAATGCTACGTAGCTGACATATCAGTGGTCAGCAGACGACCACGAGGAAGTGGTCTGTCGGTTGTGCGTGCTGTCTTCCATGTTAGTCGACGCCATACGCATCAGTTTGAAAATAGATTCTAAATAGACACGCCTCGTGTCATTTTTACGTAACAATTAATTTAAAATCAGCAAAAAAGTTTCCATAAATAGCTCAAGTTTCATTGCTCTAGGGTGAATATTAAAGAAAAAAGTATCTTCGAGTAGCATCTCCCCCTATGTCCGCCATGCAGTGTTGTGATGCCATACAAGTTTTGCGATGTGTCAAGTGAGTAAAACCTACCGCAAGGGCTGCAAGACCATGAATTTAAAATCACGACATTCATGATATATCAAAATATTCATGTTATGACTAGTCACTTATGCTTGCTATACAGTCAGGGCATACCAATTTGCGTAACGATACCACAATCAAAACGGCCAGGAAAGCTAAACGTTGTTGGCGGCTAGATAGAGGGATAGATAGATAGATAGATAGATAGATAGATAGATAGATAGATAGATAGATAGATAGATACGTTTGCTTTTGCCGAAGTTCTCTAAGAAATCTGTCGCATTTAAAATTTCACTTCACAGGAGATGGTGTCGGGGCACACGATGAACTCTCTCATATATTTTTATCGTGATGACCTTCATGCCTATTTAATACTGAATACCCCCAAAATATTTATGTGTTCTTTCAAAGCATGTGTTTTTATAAACAATTGCTTACATTTGAAGATATTTTTAGCACATACTCGATCTGTGAATCGGTAAAGAAGTAAAATAAAAAAACTTTATGTCAGAAACAAGCCTGTCATTTTTACGCAAACAACCCTGCTATTTTACGCAACTTGCGTGTTTTGGTTATATATTTGTAAAAATACAAGGTTTTACTTGTGACGCCACGTAAAGTAACTGGAATTTTGTAAGGCTTTAAAGCTATTCGTCATTCTACCCAGTTACAAAGTAGAGTAGGAATAAATTATTTACAACTGACTTTTCTTTTTGCCGCAACAATAAAAGAGTGGTCAGGCGACTGCAAAGTTTTTTGAATGAACGTAATTTACTGAGATGAATTTCACACTAATTTCATCGAGCTCATTTTTTTACTCGAATTACCGGCAGTCAAAAGTCGGACTGAGACGTATCACTTTTAATGGCCAAAATTGGCGGCTAGCATCGCTCAATCTGTCCACCTTCTGTACTGATGCTACGTGCAAGTTTCAGTGGTTAAGCCTTACACATTTGATTTCAAGTGGCACAGTCCGTGTCTTTCGCCATTCTCCTAACCTGTGTGCATGTCTGAAGCACAATATTACCTTTAAACTCAACTGCTCATTAAATGAGTCAACTGTACAATTGATCAAAAATGTCATAAGCTTGCCAGCCCACAATAAAATTTGCTTAAAATGAAAATATTGAAGTTTTCACTTGCGCTCTACTTAATGCTGAACCACTTTTCCAGAGCCGGCACCATGAAATTGATCAAAATGTAAGTAATGAAATATTTCGTTGTAACGCTTTGTTCTGTTTGAATGCTCTGCATAACGGTTGCAGAGTATAGCTTTAACAATACGAAAGCTTAGAAGAGGTACTGGTTATCCATGCAATGAATTGTCTTCAACCAAACACTTATTGCATTTCTAACTAAACTGTGCTAATGAAATGAACCTGACCTGATTGTGCTGCCGATCCCAAATAACATAACACATGAGAGTGTGACCTACCCGTTCTGCACCCTGTGAAAAGCAAAAGAAAAAACAGTCCTTCTTGTGATTGAAATAAAGCAGTGCTTTGCCAAATGACTCAAAAAGATGTACACGTTAGTGTTTCACATCAGCGTCAGCACTAAAATGCACTTAATTTCTGAGGTTTGGCTTGAACAGTTATGCAGGCTTGTTTACAAAGTATTAACCACAATAAGCGATCAGGCACGAAGAAACAGATAACTGTTTCCTTCATTACACGTGAATATTTTACACTGACCGGTCTTATGAGGTGGGTTTGACGTGAAAATAGTCAAAGCGACCTTTTTTCTGTTATATGCTTTTGAAAATGTAAAGTTACACTGGACGATGCTGTCTTTTTCCGTCTTCAGAGAAGAAATGGCGCGATTCACTACCTGACTTTGTAATATGGTATTCAATGTCACCGATTTAAATGCATATTAACGACCAAAGTCAAGTTTGTGTAAAACGGATTTCATTTGCTTGCGCATGAAAGCAACACACTCTTCAGTGATTTGTCGGAAATTAAAAAACGTTTGAGGAATGCGTTGCTCCATATATTACGTGCGTCACGCAATGATAGTAAAATAACTAGCTTAAAATTACTGCCACAAACACGTCTGTTTGGGTTCTGTGGGTTTTTCTTAGGGCTTTCACAGTTCAATATAGTCACAACCCTTACTTGTTTTGTGGACTACGACGTCAAAGTGTTCCTGATCACGTTTGATTGGGTGGGCCTGCTCTGCGACCGTGAGTGGCATCGTGGATGTGGTAAAAGGCAGTGCAAGGCAGGACGTCATTGACATAGGAGGAAGTCGAACATAACAAAGGTTGGTTTGATTTGGTGGTGACAGCTGGTGGGACTCACGGTGGTCATGTGGTCATGAGGCCTATGGAAGTGCATGCAAAGCAGATGGGACAGGGGGTTGGTTTTCGGAATTGCGCCATGATTTCACGGCGCACTTTCGAAAACTAACCCCCTACTCATCTGCTTTGAATGCGCTTTCATAGGCCTCATGAACTTCACGGCTTCTATCCAGGCTGGGGGGAAGGGAGGCGACCGCGAGGCGGCTGCTGATAGAACTGTATAGACTGCTGTTTGGGCTTATTACTGACTTCGGCATGTGTAGGTGGTGCACCTCCATCAAATACATGACGTACAGTAACGGCCTCGGCGTAACGCAGCACGCCAGCCCAGTGACTGTTAGGTGGGCCAGGGTTCTGTGGTGAGGCTGCCTGGAAATTCATTGTGGTGTTTCGTAATGGCGAGCTAAAAGCAATCTGCTGGAACGCGCTTATGAAATGTGTCGGGAATTGCGCATTTCAGTAACATATTTACTTGCAGTAAATATTACGCCCAATCGGAGTTTTCAGGATTGTTTTATAGTGCTATCGTTGATTCGTTTTATCACGGTTGGACCGGATACGCACACGAGCAAATGTAACAGTCACGCGCCATTTCAATCTGGCTGTGGTTCTACAGGCTGCCGAACATAACATAAAATTCGTCATTTCTATTCATCTGAAAAGCAGCGCAGAGGTATCTCTTGTAACTGAATTTACACTGAACAATTCAATTACCCAAAAGCATTGTGCAATGAGTAAAAAAAGAATGAAAAGAGAAGGGCTGACCAGTGCTTTTTCCTTCTTGCTACGCAATGATTTTTGCTTTGACACACATTAATCTTGAGAGGACGGTGGTGGTAATTTGTTTGTCGTTCCACTAAGCGCGGAAGTGCACCCATGCAATAAAAGTGTCAGAAATATTTCTTGATGATACGTTTTTAGGCCTGGGATGTTACTATATATTTTGAAGCTGTGTCACCGGTCTCGTTAATTAGGAAGGCAATCGCCGGGCTAATTCCAATTGCCGAAGTATCGGCCCCCCTAACCGCACCACCAAAGCGTGGACAATTTAGAAGTGGTCCTATTTGGCGCGCCAGCGGACGCCGGCTGTGGCCCAAAGAACAAGTCAGAGCTGAGAGTTGATGAACAAAACAAAATTATATTCTCAATAATGGCAAATCAAAAACGATACTCAAGTAAGCACACTCCACAATAGTTGTATACAATATGTCACCAATCAAACAACGTACTACACAGTACAATCAGCCACACTCGAAACAACGGACACAAACAACAATACGCGCTACAATGCAGTCGCATGCATTGAACAACCAAGACACTTAAAGACTAAAGAGATGGAAAACCTATTCAGCCCAAAGTTCTCAGAACAAAAGTCTGGATGATACTTTTCCGAGAATCACTCACTCAAAGTCCAGCGTTGTTGTCGTTCCGCTGCCCCCGAAGTTTCTCTTCCAGGAAACCTCGACGGCCCCTGAAGTTTCTCTTCAAGGAAACCTCGCGCCTTCACTTGGCCACTCTCCAAGCTTCAACCTTCTTCGCCGGAAACACGTCGGCTTCACACACGCAGCTGTTGCCACGCGTCTTCACTCGATAGCGCTAGACCCACGCTCTTGCCTGTAGCTCGAGCCTTCACCCATCAGGTGGAAATTCTCTTCTGCTCATGCTTTGTCACTACGGACAAAACCTTCGCCGACTACATGGCGGGATACCCTGCGCGCTCTGGCGCTATCTTCCGTCTTCTCCTGATCTCCCATCTCGGCTGCTCGATTAAATACTTTCCTCGCGAGATTCCAGAAAATTCTCATATTTCGTCGGCGCAATACGCATCGAAGGCTGGGGAGAGGGCGAGGCGGTTCGAAGGCCGTCCGCGCCGGATGACGCAACCCGGCATCACCACGCCCCCTTTCATCTAGAATTTTCCAGTGCTTGCTCGGCCGCCGACGTGGGGTGAGGAGGTTCGTCGGCGAACCTACGCATCCGAGGGGCGAAGGACGCGCGCCCGAGGAGTCTGTGAATGCTTGTTTTGTTTTTTTTATTGCTGACCTCTCGGCGCTTCGTCACGAGAATTTGGCGGCGCACCCGTTTTTGAGCGCTCGTTTTGTGACACTGCCCCCCACTTTAAGAATATTATCTCATAATATTCAAAATCACACAAACGAGCGCGAACAGTCCCCACACTATCAAAGACTGTAACATAGTCCGTCACTCATGACACGTCACATTCACAATAGATCACTCTATTCAATTCTACATTGTAATTCAATCTCACATACATGAAATATAACCACAGGTACAAGAGTACAACACTCCATCACATATTCCAGACAATACAAATGTACAAAGTTCTTTCATTACAACAATTGTACAATGCTATACATCACACGACCATAACGAACATTTTGATTCGCTCGACATACAGTTGTTACGCAGGATAACAAAACACAACAAATTGAGGCTCAACACAGACAAACGCATTTCGATTTCATTTCAGCACCTATCCCGTGTACTTCGAGCTGCGCTTGCGTCCTTTTTTGCGGTGCTCGCTCAATCTCTTGTTCCTCCTCGTTCTTTTTCGGCAAGCCCTTTCAAACGACGGTATCTGAGGCGGCGTCTCAGCCATCGTTGTCACTTCCGACACCGTTAACGGGTCATGACATTCAACCGATCCTGTCTCCCGCTTGTTCATGTCACGACATTGGGCCTGGCGGCCGACTCCGTCACCTTTACATTGCCGGTCAGTTGAGGTCGAGCCGACGTAAGTCCAGCTGCCAAGCACGTAAACTCATTCAATACGATCATGTTATCATTCGCTGTCTCTTGCGCCCAGGCTTCACCTTGCGCTCTAGTGAAATGCTTCACGGGATTTTTCTCCGCTGTATCTCGTGGCTCCTGTGTCGGCGGGGGCTCCATCTTCGGGTCTTCCCCAAAACGTGCTGGTTCGTTCGGCCCTCGTGCCCCATCGATGTTTCCGATGACGAGGTCGTACAGGGGGGTCGTCATGCATAGAGCCGTAACCTTCCCGCTGAAGTACGGGGTTTCAACCTCAATCTCTGCTTCGGGAAGCATCCGAACCGTACTGTCAATTAGGCAAACCGGTTTCGTTTTGCCTGTTAACTCACTCTCCCGCACCAAATTTCTTCGCACAATAACCGTGGAGCTACCGGTGTCCCTTAACACCGTAACCTTCTTGCCCGCAACTTTTCCAGGCAGCGTTGGCATTCCCTTCGTAACACCGGTTGGCTGTTTTGTCTATACAGCACCCACAACAGGAAGTTTCTCCCCATTATCATTTCTACGAAGCCGTCGGTGACGGCATTATTATCGGATTTTGGTGCCACTTGCGCACAGGATACCTGGTGAGTTTGACTAGCTCCGTTACGACATGCGTCTGCCTTGTGCCCAGTCTGACCACATTTGAAACATTTTACAACAGTAGGACTCGTGAAGTTAGTTCGGCAGTTTTTAGCACGGTGACCCACTCGGTTACACAGAAAACATCGAGGAATCCTCTCCGGTGCACGCTTCTTTTGTTCGGGTGCCGAATTCTTCGAATCTTCAGGACACTCCTTCTTGACCTTGGCAAAATTAGTGCCACGTTGCGCTTCCAAGAATTGTTCCACTAATTCAAGCATGTCTTCAATTGACTTAGCTCTCCTCTCTTTCAAGTACAGCGATAGGCTTGGGTGGCAACTGGTAAGAAATTGCTCTCTAATTAGGAGCTCTCTAAGCTCACCATACTCCTGTGCTGTCCCTGAAAGTTCAATTCATCTATTTGAAAAGTTAATTAGAGCACGAACACTTAACACGATCACCCACACACGCACACACCCATGCATCAAACACACAGCGCTCACTTACAACCGATTTATTCATAGCTCGAAGGCTTGAATATATACAG